TCAAGCAGACATCTATTCCTGTCAGAAGATCATGTGCCTGAACAACCTTACTGAAGGCAGCCGAACCCAGATATTCTGTTACATAGTACCTGCCGCCTATGACTGAATTCAGCACAATGAGCAGATCCTTGCTTTCTTCAAATCCAGTCCTGTAGATGAAACAATGTAAAACCGAAGGTTAAATGTAAACGCAACACCAGTGAATCTCTGTAAAGAACTAACAAGCAAAAGCAGATAAACATGATTCAGGCCAAAAATAAAACGGAGATAGCCACCACAATATGAATTTGACCGCAAAGAAATTCTGAGTCGATACCAAACTGAGCAAACACAGAGAGCTAAGGAAGTGATAGTTAATTTGAACTTTTATCATTTCCTACATTTACAATTAATTATTCATTTGTATTTTCATGAATACTAAAATGATGGGAATGAGACCATCAAACACAACAATATGAAACAAACCTGTTCTTTCTATGTATAATTCTCAGGTCAAATACTTCATATTCATCCTCGTGAGTGTACTTTAATAGCTCATCATCAGTAACATCCTCTCCATCTGCTGCATTTTCTGGATCTAGGCATTCTTCAGTGAATTCTCCACAATCTTTAGCTTTATATCTGGTGAGTCCATTTGGCAGGTCAGTTTCAGCAACTTTGATAGTTAAGTCATAGGGAGCTTTGTACCCCTTATTGCCATTACTGTTAGGATAGAAGTCAAAAGTTTGGTTCATAGAATGCTCTGGAGCAGAATCAGTAGAGGAACTATCCCCAACAACCTTTAAATGCAAATCATTCAGATGAATTTCCTTTAAGCTTAGGTAGCTGTCATTACCAGGATCCCCACTACAAGACTCTCCTGAACCTGCAGAGTATTTGCTAAATGGAACATCACAATTATTGACAAAGGTAGGATTCTCAACCTCTCTAACTAATCCTCCTTCAAGCTGCTCTTTCTTATCAGCATGACAATAGTCTTTTAAACAAGTCACATTCTCATTTCCTACATCAGAACGATTATAAAGGCATAGTCTCTCCATGCAATCACCATTTCTCTCCACTTGGAATGCTTCACTTTTGTAATTATTTTCCAGAAGATTTTCATGTTGATTCTCCATTTCTGATGTCAGGATGAACTTATCCTCACTTTGACCTCCAAAGAACTCTGGTCCCTCAAAACTGGGGGTCATGAAATCATCATCATCTTTCTCATTATACCAGTATGGTTCATTTTGCATGTCAAAGTCATGGTAGTCACGTGCTGTGTCAAATTGAGATAATCTATCTGACGAAGATTCAGAATCTTTGTGAGTTTGAGATGAGGAGCGAGTTCCATATGGATTGATGAATTCTGTAAAACAAGGTTTCAGGACACTCAGATGCATTGTGACTAAAAAGGGGAAAAGAAAGTAAAATGATCTTTCTGAAGAAAATACTGTAGTGAGCGACAGGCTATAAACATATAGAATTGGCTAATAATTTTGGTCATTTATGAAAGTATGTGGCCACATACTTGTATGTGAGCAACTTATCAAATGTTAGCCGAGATTGATATTTCTTAACATACTTTTTTCACCAACAACATCCTTTGAACAGCCACGCAAAAGAACGCAACTGGGGAAATGATATGAACATGAATCAAGAACAAATAAGAGATGATTATGTCAGCTGTGTGAGAGAGAGAGAGAGAGAGGAAATTTTGGGGATGCCAGTCTTAAGTTAGATTGTTCACTGTGTGATCCAACATACACAAATAGAAGCACCAAACACATTGAATTCTGTTGAAAACCAATTATTCAACTTACGCAGAACATGAAAGAACATTTCAACGATCAAATAGAGCAGATGTTTATGACAAAAATCTCGTCACTTAAGACCAGATCACAGAGAATTAAAATGCTCATTTGTATAATGACCTAACTTTTAACTGGTTTCAAATATATGAAGTGGATGCGCTTAAACGATAATAAACATAAAGCATTAATTTCAGAGTTTTTCTTCTCCTTCTTTATTTAGCTAAGCAGCAGAACGGAGCACAGTCATCAGTAAGCCACTAAGCCCCGCATTACTAGAATACATAATGATCATTGATGAACGTGAGCAAGTAACTGGGAATAAACAGATCACTAAAGGATAAGCCAATAATAAGGAAAAGAAATACCCGCACAACAAACGCCCGAAGTAGATGACCCCAAGCTCACAAACTCATCGTCCGACGACTTAGAGCTTGCTTTCGAGCAATCTCTGCCATACTGCCTATCCGAAAATCGAGAAAACGATTTGACTCTGACCGGCGGCGGAGGCGGCACCATCGGGAAGAAGAATTTCTCGTAGTCGAACGACCCCGTCTCACCATTTTCTATGATGTCCTCTTTAAGGGCGGACTCTGCCTCTGTGAAGCCATTGTTCCTCAAGAATTCTAGGACAGCTCCGACGTCGGAAGCAGCCATGAGTACGAGAATTCAAAGCAGGAGAAATAGCTGAAGTTGGCTGAGCTGAAGGGGCAACATCTTGGGAATTAAGGAAACAGAAAGGGACAGAATTGTAATAAACAGCATGGTTCGGGATGTGCATGCTCGATTGGAATAGAGAAAGAGGCAGAGATAGAAATAGAGAGAGATTCTGTGTCGAAGACTCTCTCTCTCTCTCTCTCTCTCTCTCTCTCTCTCTCTTCCTTGTCTCGTGTTTCTGTAAAACAGAAGCAAAGGGAGGGGTTTGTGTGTCTAACGTCTTGTTAACTTTCAAAAGGGAACGAAGGACGTGGATTGTGATCGTGAGAGGATTTGGTTTGGTGGGGCCCAAACTATTATAAGTAAGAACATAAGACTCGTGGAGGAATAATCATCTGTTCATTTACTGCCCGAATACGGTAGGAAGTCAACATTTGGGTAGGACCCTCTAATTTCACCCTCTCACACACACCCTCTCTCTCTCTCTTTCTCTATATTATTAATGGCATGGATATTTATTCACAAAGAAATAACACTTATGCAGTCAAGGCTATCCTATTATTTTTTTAACTTATTAAAATTTGAATAAATTATTATTAATTTAAATGATTTTTATAAAATATGTGAAGTTTTAAAACTCTTAATTTAAAATTAATAACACTAAATTAATAAATAATATTATTAAAATAATAAGTATCATTTTAAAATTAATAATACATCATTGTGTCATAACAGATAATATAGTTTAGAAACTTGAATTGTTACATACACACATATATACTGTCATATATAATTAAATGGGTTGGATAGCCACGAAGCTTTTTTTGGTGGTAGGGGTTTCCGTGTCAGTCCGATTGTTGTTTAGGTGACAGTGGGAGTGAATTTTTTATTATCTTATATTATAGGTGCAATTTAGTTATTTTACATAAAAATTAATATTTGTTGAAGATTAAGGGAGTACAATGAAATTTCAAAACCTACTGATATTTGATATAGAAATATTTTTCAGCAGTCTTTGAATGATATTTTTCCTTTTTTTTATACTTTTTTTTCTTTTTTCCTTCCCCGTGAAGATACTGAATGAACAGAATTTTTTTTTTTTACTTAATTCATATGCTTTCAATAGTTCCATTGGCGCCATTACTTGGTTAGGGATATTTTTAATGTTAATTTCAAACATTCTTGTGCTGATACTGCCTGAAATTCTTATTACACTTCGGATATTCTCATAACTCAGAAGCAGTTTCATTATTTGCGCCCCTTTCCTTGGTTTTTTTAAGTTTTTTTTATTTTTGTTAAATAAGATTAATTTCTTTTACTGCCTTTTGACTGCTTTCACTATTTCAAATAAAGTAAAATATTGGGGGGGGGGGGTCATGCTCATGGAGGGGTATAAATTGGGCCCCTAAAACAGAGAAAGTGCATTGTTGATCAATCTTGACAGTAGCAGAGAGAACTTAAAAGAAGTGCTGGAGACAGAGTTGTGGGGATATATTATAATATTTTATAATTTAAAAACTGAGTATATTATAATATAAAAGCAAGAGTAGGATCTTGGAGTAAAATGAAGTTTTACAGAGAGAAGTTAGGTGGCTCTGAGGGCAGATTGATGAAAGGTAATAGAGACCCACCAGTGGTAAATAATAATGGTTGTTTGGGTGACCACCCGCACACCTGACGCTTCATGATTCACCAGACAGCCTCACCACTCACCTCGCTGGTTTAACGAATCATTAACTCCCCTTTCCATTATTATTGTCCTCCTTTCCCCTCCTTTCCCCTCCTTTCCTTTCTTTTCTCCTCTCTCTTTTGAGCTTGAATTTCAAATGTCTTGCCCGTTGGTGAATGCCCATGCATGCCAGACTCGTACCTAATCTCACTTTTTCTCGTCCCCCCCCCCTCTCCCCCCCTTCTCTGCATCTGTAATCTCCCCTAAAATCATCAACTGTGATGACACGACCCCCGAGAAAAATAATTATTTTTTTTGACTTATGGAACCTTTAATTTCTAGGGAATATGCCCCACGAAAGCAAATGTCTGGCTCTCTGATTGAGCACTTCGATTTTTTTTTTAATGCCACCCATGACTCGGAACCATTTTTAATGACAATAGCAGTATTGTCTTCAACTTTGAAACGGTGGGGTTTGTGCATAATTTAATAGTTATTCTGAAATCCCACTGACGCCCGTCGATATTGGGGTTGGAATTGGATTCCGACGCTCCTCGTTCTGGAGCATCTTTCAGTTTCAGAGATATGGCGGCATGAAGAATAATTTCCCCGTCCTTGATTATTCAAAGGGAAAGTCGTTCAAGCAACGTCAGCCAATAAAACAAATAATTCTAGAAATTAAGATTTGGTCAATGATTGCGACTTAATGTTAACCAGACACCATTTGCGGGTTTTAACTTTTAATCCCCCTTCTTCTTTTTTCCCCAAAATCCCTCTAATTCAGAATCGTGAAAAAAAATATCAAATATTCCAGGATTTCTGCAGAAATTTATAAATAGACCCAAAAGGCTATTTCATTTGTGCACTCCGACCACTTAAAATATATATAGGCCAGAATGACCAACTAAAATATGATACCTTATGAAATTTTAATTTGAGTTGGCACTTATTAACATTTATATTTTTCTTACGTGATATATACTGTTTAAATTATTTTAATCCCTTTTTTTTTTTCATCGGCTTTCTTCTCTGTAAGAACCCTTCTTCAGCCAGCCGCCAACACCCTTCTTCATCCATGGTTCTCCGCCGCTAGCAAAATGTGTCTGTGTAGTAGTGCTTCTGAGACTCGATCATAAAGATTGCCTTGAAGATGCTTGTGCTGTTCTTTCAGTGGGTTTTTACTGCAAAGTTCTTACTAGCTCCTGGTTTGTTATTTCATATATTCGCATGAACATCGTTGAAAGCGAAGGGCACTTCTTTCCTGATATAGAGAAAACCTCAAACCTTTCGTTCAGATATCTGCATCGCATGATGCTCCTTGTCGGCTTCTGGAAGAACTGAAAAGGAAGAGGAGGGAGAAGAAGCCCTTACGGTCATGAAGTGTAGCCATGGAAACCGATCTTGGGCCCGATCGGAGAAGGCTCGTTCAGTTGGAGACGTAGAGAGCGATGTCAGTCTACAAGACAAAGAATAATGTTTTTTGACCTCGAGACACTGAATAATTTAAACAAAACAAATTTTATAAGAAAACTAGACTCCTTTGCGTTGCAACGGTTTAGAATTCAAGAATTTGAAACAATTATAATTAATTCCATTGATAAAGACACATGTGAGATTGCCCTATTCACCATTTTCCCTTCTTGGATATTGATTTGTTAATATCTTATCTTTGTTTCTCAACCCTATAGCAAGTTATAGGTAGAGTTTGAAATATCTAATCTTTAATGATTGCATTATACATGATTGAGTTGTAAAGGAATGAGGTTTAATAAAAATCAAATACAGAGATTTGTTAGATAAAGAATACATAATACGGATAAATTTATTCAACTCTAATATAAAACATCTTGTTTTCCCCTTATACAATATTTTAAAAAATTTTCTGTAAACTACATTTGTTGTAATTGACAAAGGCCTAAATTTAAATGCCATTTTTCTGATTTGTATGTCATTTTCTCAAGACTCTAACAGCAATACACCATATCTCTATGGAATCATTGATGTCTTGAACAAAGTCATGCTAATTGAGTTCCATCTTTGCCTTAGATGATTCAAGTACACAATCAAATGTGAGAGAATTAAAAGGAAGAATATTATGTTTGGAAGGAAAGAAATATAAAGTATTAAAATTTGGGGCCTTTTATAAATGGATGCACACAATAAGTAGCATATTGTAATTTATTGAGTGTTCAGAAAGAGGAGAAAAATAATTATCATTGCATGATTAAATGTAATTTAATTAATTTGATAATTTACACATGAAATATTCTGTCAACCACATGTAAATACACAACTTCCGAGAAATTAATCTTTCAATGTTTCAGTTTCTCAGGGGCACTAATGAGAAACTTTTGGTTAGAAATCAATTATGTATTTAATAGTGAAATATTAGAAAAAAGATTTTAATCTTGAATGTTTTAGTTTTTCAAGAAGACTTCTTGTTGAAAAATCAATTATGAATTTAATAGTGAAATATTAGAAAAATGGTTTTTCAAGTTTCAATAAGATAATCAATAATTTAAATCTTCAAAATTTAATCCTTCCCAATATTTGAAGTAACAGATTTATTTTTTTATGTCAAATTTGAAACTGATATTAGAAAATGGTTTTGCGGAAGATAATTAAATATTTGAATATTTAGTATTTAATTTTTCCCAACATTCAAAGTGCCTGGGATTTAATTCTTACTATCAAATATTAAATATTTTACATAATTTACACACTTGATAATAAATGTTCATTAATGAAGTAATTGAAGAACATGTGAATGGAATATGAAATAATTAACATTAATGATGAGTTAATGGAAATATGCATTTCTTTTTATTTGAATGCAATAAAAATCAATAAAATACTAACCTGAAGGTAGGGTGCATGTTAATAGTTGTTAATAAAAAGAACCTAAATTTGTAGACGCAGAAGCTAAAGCAAAATGGTGCACTGAACTACCAGCCCTAACAACACTTTCAGCACCTCTAAATCATTCTAGAACTAATGCAGGTTCACTTCTTTACATAACAAACATTGAACATTATCAGAATCATCTCAAAAAGCTTGCGCCTATCTTCCCACCCAGGCTCTTGTATAGAATTATTGTGATTCTATATAAACTAAGGTTCCTTGAACTCTTAAATGCAAGTTGAACCAAGAAAATAAAAAAAAATAAAAAAAAGCATAAAAACTCTAAAAAGGAGAAAAACGGCAATATGCCATGGAGGAGGAGGTTTTACTGAGAAAACGTCAAAACCTACCTGAGATCCCATCATCAAGGTATGAGCATTAGGCTTTATAAATGAAGAAAGGATGATATGATCAAATTGTTTTGGAAGTGAAAATTAAAATTAATATAAAATTAAACTCACAGAATATGTGGAATAGGTAGTGTCATCATCATCTTCTTCTTCAGCTTGCCATCTCCATCAATATTGAACTGTTAGACACAGTAGGTTGTGTTGATCCCTCCAGTTTTTCCCTAGATTCACTTTCCGCACTTCCTCATCTTCATACCAGGATGAGAAAATTAGATACACCAGCACAACAAATAAAAAAGAGAAGATGGGATTAAAAAACGAAATATTAAAATAAATTAATCAATAAGAAAATAGAATTCACCTTAGATTAAAGTAATCAGACCAATGTGCAGATGGGATCAAAGTAAAAATAAATAAAGCTTTATTTTCAACTGAATGTTACCCTCAGGACTTCAGACAAAAAAGGGAGAAAGTATATCTAAATTACAAGCTTGCACAAAAGTAACACAATCAAATAAACCCTTGATGCATCAAACCCACGAGAAGCATCAAATGGACCTAAAAGACTTTGGAATAGGTACTGTCTTCCCATGGACTTAAATCAAATAAAGCTGATATTTGAATCACTATCAATGAAAAGAAAATCAAAATTAAACAAATAATATCATGATATTTAGAAATCATCCCTTCAAGATAGGTCTCACGATCTATGTGATCCTGAATTAAAATATCATGAACAACAATTAGCAATGGCCAATAATAATAGTATGGTTCTTTTAATTCTTATGTTATTTGCCAGTGATTTCAGTAAGTTACATCGAAATTCTCCAAAAACAAGAAAACAAATCACCCACCATTGTCATCTCTGGTCAAGACAGGCTGCCATATTTATCAAATTAGCAAGTCAAGATTCAAGCTCCATTCCCAGTGTTAAAGCACAACAACCCCAGGGATGCATAACCTAGGCTTTTAAAGACAACGAAGTACCTCAAAGTTCAAGATGCATCTCACTAAAGCATCTTAACAGTACTCTTGCATACAAATTTGAATTTCAAAATTCCAATGTCTTTTGATAATATAAGGAAAAGCAAATGGCTGATAACAAATCAGAAAAATCTGCAAGTAAAGAGATTCCAACAAACCTTTCTCTTCCTCCTTCTTATTCTCTGCATTGGCTTTATTCAATTTCCCTCTCCCAGACCTCGGTGCCATTTTCTTCAATATAACAGACTGCAGGAGACCAAAAGGTGACAGTGCTTCAAGTTGCATGAATTTTAGAATGTCGTGTGAAGTTTCTAACCTTTTCATCCTCAGGAAGGTTTTCAAGATAATCAGCCAGAGGTTTTGAATACTCTGCCAATGTAGTAATCTTGTTAATATATGTGATATCAATTCCAGAACCCTTGAGATCAAGTACTACTGGAAACAATCTTGTTTCTTCAAGAAGGGCTCTCAAGAATACCCAATAACTAAGCTCCAAGAAGTTGAAGAACGAATTAAAGAGCAGTTCAGGTAAAAGATATCAAAGTTCTGTTAAGTGACTTGGAAATGAATCTATCAGTTCAAATAACTTACACGCATCGTTTTATGTGGCAGTACTATTGATAATTTGATTGCTTGTAAAAATTAAAAAATATACCATTAAGATTATTCTAATCAGTGTATCAAAACTCTCGAATCTCCATATTTTCAAAAAGGGTTTACTTGACCAGTTAGTGAACCAAAAAAACATAAACATCTGAATCCCAAAATTCAACATACACAACAGATTAGTCAAAGTACAAGTATCTTACTTCCACGATCGAGTAAAAGAATGGTCGGAAGAGCTCCAGGTTTTGTTTTGAAGGAATCCCCTAACTTTGTACACCCTTTATGGTTCTCTTTCAGGCACACGATATTCCCAGCCATGCTGCCCCCATATTGAGGGATTCCAAAGTTTTCAATTGCGCTATCTTGTGTGCCTTTAATCTTCTCCGGCGACGTCATCGTCAAGCTGTTCTTCTCTGAAGCCGAACAGAAACCCTAGGAGAAAACAAAGCGATGACCTCCGAAGTTTCATTTTTTTACACTGTAAGGATGACGAGAAGGAGATACGGAGATTTCTAGAATTTTCAAAGAGCTGTCTAGCGAGAGCCGAGGACTGAGATTGGGAGAATCGATGTCTTCGGAAGAGAGGACTCGTTGCTCGGAAGAGGAAAAGACTCGCTGCCTTGGAAAAGTTAAAAGCTCCCGTAATGATAAGTTAACAATGAGAGAGAAGAATAAAAAATTTAAAATGTATTAAGATTGACTAAATCAATTATATGATAGTAATTCTAACCAATCAACAGCATTCTACAGGATTTATTAATATATATTGATATTGATGATTATAAATGTCAAGTAAATGCCAACTCAGATTAAAATTTCATAAGAATGTCTCAGATTTCTGTTTCCTGCACGAATTTATCAAATTTTGCTGACTAAATCAAACAAATTCAAAATTAGTTATACCAAAACCCCGCCTCGGAACACGTAAACGTATCCGAATCCAAACTTATGTATATGATTTCCATCACGTTAATAATTTAAGAAGTGTTGCCTTGCCACGTTCCTTGAGAGGTTAATATGAACTTAAGAAAACAAAAAAACAAAAACAAAAAAAACAAAAGACACTGTGGTCCTCCTGGAAACCCCACAGGACTTATGTAGGGTAAGGATAGACCCAATCACCCAAGGAACTGGTCAGGTTAGGCGGCCCAGAAGATATGAAGTTGAATGGGTAGGCTTGGAGGCCCATGCAAATTTCCAAGGGACACAATGACTTAATTCTGTCTCCAGCATGCATACCGTTAAACCTTTGCAATTTGTATTTATCATCGGCACAAAATATCCGAATACTTTTTTCTTTGAAACGTTCCTAGTGATGGAACCTCTGTATATTTATAAGTCAATTTTTCAGATGTAAAAGTTCTAAAAAACTTACAACTTTAATAGTGCATCTGTAATTTATAAATGGATTAAGGTTTATAATTTACTATGATGTTTCGATTCACAACATGGCTAGTGTAAATAACACACTCCTCTATAAATCATGGACATAATGGTTGAACGGTTAATTTTTAAAAACTGATATATAAATTGTGTAAAAATATTTGTAAATAATAATATTTAAATTATCAAAACATTAAATTATATTTTAATTACTTACCAATGTTGTTTTCCGATAATGGTAATCGAATAATCACCCAGTAATTCATCAACTAGTCAAAATGGAATTTTAATCTTTTACGTGGAAAAAAATACTCCTTCCATTTTAAATTATAAAATTTTTTAGACAAAATCATACATATCAATAAAACTTGGTAAATACACTATATAGCTTCATTTTTCTATAGTAAAAATATAAATTTTTAAAAATACTCTTCATTTAATACTTCATTTATGAAATAATATTAAAAAGATAGGATATAATGGAAAGGATAATATTGGCAAAATATCATTTATGAAATCTTATTCTTATCAAAGTATCTTATATTTTAAAATGTCAAGTTTCTTCCAAAAATATCTTATAATTGGGATAGAGACAATAACATTTATCTCTTGATATCTATAAATTTTAAAACCTTAATTGATATTGATTTTATTACAAGAATTTATTTGTAATTTTTTGATATTTTTCTATAATTTTTAACTTATTCTCTTAGTTTTACGATCAACTAATGATTCAAGTTAACTCCTACCAATAGAAGGGATAGTATTGTGCCACTTTTAATTATTGAAGGAAAGCATTTCAACAACAAAAAGTTCAAAATTCAAATCGCCGCTAAACATATAATTTAAAGACAAAATTTTCCTTTTACCGTTATTTGTAACATATTAGAGTAAGTACTAATTACTTCCTTAAGCATTATTCTGGTCCCTATTATATCATGTTTTCTATAAGGATTTTTTATTTTTAATATGAGCTATAAAGCACTCGATAGAGTATTAATTATATTTTTTAGTATCATTCCTATTTAAACTCATTAATTGTGATAGAAAATATAGTAAAAAAATTGAAAATATTTCATTCAAATAGTGATAAAATTAAAATTTATTTTATTTTTAAACATAATTAATAACTTTATTATCTCTCATTAATTTTGACAATGTCGATATAATTGCCTTATAATAGAAATTGGAGAATGCATATTTATGAAGAGTAGTTTTTAATAAGATTTATTGCCATGTTGATTTTTAAATAGAATGTTACAAGAGAGTTGACAATTTTTATATTCACATATACTCATTATGGTCTCTATTACAAGTTGCCTTGTTAAAACTCACTGTCTATTAGAGACAATGTAATATATATTTAAAAATTTTTTATTTAAATAGGAGATAAAGTTGAGAGTTCATTCTATTTTAAAATAAAGTCAATGACTCAATTACTTCTCCTCAATTTTTCATTATAATAGGAATTAGAGGAGCTATAAAAGTTAGTTGAACACTTTGCATATAGTGCCCGTTTAAATTTTAGTTAAGTATAATATATTATAAAATAATTGATTAAATGATAAATTTTAATTGTAATTGATTATGTTATAATATAACCTATTTGGATACTTATGCTAGTAATTTTTTTAAAGATCTAAATTTTAATAAGAAAAAAAAAGAAGAGAAGAAAGTTCTGTTTATTTTTATTATATTTTGTGCCTTTTTTGTGGTTTTTTTCTCAAACCTTTTATATAATTTTTTCATATAACTTTGTAACAAAAACACATAGAAGCCGAGAAGCTGAAACTTGGAGCTTTGGAAAAATATCAATTTTGAAAAAAAAGTTGGTGTTTGGGTAAATTATGGATTAATCAATTTTTCTCCCTAAAATTGATTAATCCCTCAATCCAAACAGGCATATAATTGTCCAAACAAAAAAGTTGTATATGAAAGATGGAACAAATTCTCTAAAATTGAGTTTCATGATTTTGCATGATTCTTTATATTTTTCTCATTTTTTTATTTTTATAAAACACCTTCTCCATTTTTTTTGTAAGTTATTTCTAACTAACTCACAAAAACCAAAATGGATCCATCAAATTAATAATTTTTCAAAAAAATAAATTTGTTTGGGGCTAAAATGTGAATTTTGCCTTAAACCCAACTATTTGAGCTAAAAGAAATGATTGTAGTCTAAATTTACATGAATCTTTTTAGAAGGGAGATAGTTACTTGTTAAAGAGAATAATTGATGCACCACTTTGAAAAAGGCAAAAAGTGGATGACACTTTGAAAAAAATTGTAGCTAGTGTCTTTAAAAAAGTGGAGCATGGAGCCAACAAAAAAAATGTCACTCTGTGTCCATGAAAAGGAAGTCACCACACGTGCATCATTACATAAACCCTTTGAATATTTCATTGACTTAGTCCCATAATGTACTTGTCTAATGCAAGAATTTTGATTCCATTTCATCTTTTACTTTACCAATGCAGTTCCTTTTATCTTTCATCAAGTTCAACATAACACCCTTAGCACACTACACATTTAATAGAGAATAGTGAGTTCTTCAGCAATTTATAGAGTGCCAACTTCTATTGAAACAACAATAGCAATACAGTGTTACCTCTTCTTTTATTTTTTTCATATTTTATTTCATGTAGTTTCTCTTTTATCACATGCAAGTGTTACATGTTTCTCTAATTTTATTTTTCATTCCCTTTATTTTCAAGCACTTGAATTTCAAAAAATTATATTAAATGATCATGAAAACTCACTGATTTGATTTAAAAGTCAAGTAAATCACACATTTTGAGAATATGTTCTTTAGTATACCTACACAAAAGACATTGAAAACAGAATTACTTTCCAATTAAAAAAATGATTTGATGAAGTGGAGATGTCTTTTAGAATTGAAATACTACACTTTTTTAAAGAATTTGCTAGATGAAATTTTTGAAATTGTACCTCAAATTGTATGAGAGAGAGAGAGAGAGAGAGATTGGTTTAAACAGAGAATAAAAAAATCTATCCACAATAAGAGGGACTATAAAAACTTTTAATTAAAATATATTTTTGGTCTTCTAATTTTATATAAAATTTTATTTTAATTCCTTAATTTTATAAAATATATTTTTAATTCTTTAATCTAAAACTATTAATTTTAAATTATTATTTTTTATATTTTTTTCTTAATTAAATTTAATAAATTAGCATTTAAGGATATTTTATTAATATTTAATAGGTCAAAATGAGCCGTTTATTGAATTCCACGCCTCTAGAGTTTCTACGCAATCATATTTTTAACGGCAAAGTGTACGCACATGTATTTTTTTTTTAATTAAAATACACGTCGAAGGCAAAAACTACATTTTTGGCACTGGACTTCATGGCGATCCAGATTTCAGAACGTGGATCTTTCTTATTCACACCACCATTCTCCTTCATTGCTCATGTAATTTATTTCAAAAACACAAAGAAAAATAAGATTAAGAACATTCATATAATGAGTTATTGTGAATGAATCAATGACGAAATCACGTGATGAAGAAAAAGGCGGGATGGCATGCTGCACGCAGACGCATCCTGTACACTGCAAGAGCAGTGGGAAATTAATTACATGGGGCCAAGTCCACATTGTGGTGCCAATATACTCAGGCGCGAACAAGATTCAGGAGCGAGTGATTTACTTAAAACTCTCTACAAGACATGGAGTATGTGCCTGTGAAGGGGAAGGGGAAGCAGGGGAAGAGATTGATAATGAGAGAGGACGAGGCAGTGAAGAGAGAGGCATAAGTTGGGGATGGGGGTGGTTGACATGGGGAGGAGGGAGGGCAGTGGCGTGCTCTCATGTCAAGAATAGAGGATCCACTCGAGGAGGGAGGGAACAGAATGAATGTGATCTGAATTTGAGATTTGGCGGAAAGCAGAGAATAGCAAGTTTGCTTGAAAGAGAAAGAGTGAGGTCGCATCCCGTTCACCCTTTATGCGACGACCATATAAACCCTATTCAATTCCACCATGAGAGAAGGGCCCACCAGCTTTATGGTCATTCCATGTTCCACCTTCTTTTTAATTAGTCAACAATTATTTATTTATCACATTCTTATTCGCCCCCTTTCCCTCTCTCTCAAGCAAAATTCAAAAACATTTGCAATTCCAATGCCCCCAATTATTGACCCCCTCGAACCCCACTCTTCTCCTGCAACCGCCTCTTCCTCCTAAAATATGAAAGTATGAGTCCTTCTTTTAAGTTTTAACCATCGCTGGTTCGATTTTGATTTCCTTACACCCCAT